CATTATTGTTATTTTCCCTTTTTTTTTTCAGATATAGGCTCTAAAACTCAGAGACTCAATAACATGTCCTAGTTTACAATATTAGTAAATGATAGAGCTGGGCTGGGACCATACATCAGGTCTTACAACATCAAAGTAGATGGGTTTTCTGTGTTATCTCACTACCTTCTTATACTCATAGGGATGAAGACAGAAGCAGTCTAACAGCCATTTCATTAGCAGTGGTGCAAATGGTTAAGCACTCAACTATTAACCAAAAAGGTTGGCAGTTCAAACCTACTGAAAAAGTTCTCCCCTCCTCTCCTCCTTCTCCAGTTTAACAACATAGAGATTCAAATGATTTCTTGCACGTGCCTAGGTGGCACAAATGGTTACAAGCCTGACTACCAACTGAAAGGCTAGCAGTTTGAACCTGTACAGAGGCGTGTCAAAAGGAAGACCTGGCAACCTGCTTCTGAAAAGGTCACCGCTTTGCAAACCCTGGGGAGGACAGTTCTACTCTGACCACATGCTGTCACCATGAGCCACGTTTGACTCCACAGCAACTGGTTTATTGGGTTTTTTTGTTTTTGTTGGTAAAGAAAATTATATCCACCATAATTTTCTCTAAGACTTTAAGCATTATTTTCCAGCTAAAAATTCAGTATTTCATCTATCATTCTGACGTCTAATAGGCAGAATACTCTTGAAAAAATGCCCCTCTTTATATTTCTAATCAGGCTGATCAAAAGTGCTGAAAATTCTTCAGAAGGGATGGAAATAGTCATTTCTCATTCACAGTTTCTCAGATATAATTTGAGCTCCACTTACCTGAGCTCCGTGCTTTAATAAGATATTGGCACATGAGGGATGGCCTCCGAGGCAGGCTTCGTGCAGTGGGGACACGTGATCTGCCGTGAGGAGGTTCACAGGCCAGCCCTGGAGGAAGGAAAACAGCAAAGCAGGGAGTGCAGAGTGATGGTGCCCTGGGGCCGGCTTTCAGCCATGATTGCTACTGTGACAATTCTTTTAAAAGTTACATATTTAGTCATACTCATTGCCTCAAACTCTGACAGTACAAGGTGTTGAAAATGATGTAAAAAGAAAAAAAGATCCCAAACCAAACCGACTGCCGTTGAGTGGATTCCAAGTTATAGCACTCTATAGGACAGAGTAGAACTGCCCCATAGTGTTTCCAAGGCTGTAGACCCTTATGGAAGCAGACGGCCTCATCTTTCTCCCACAGAGCGGCTGATGGGTTCCAACCACTGACCTTTCGGTTAGCAGCCAAGAGTTTAACCACTGCACCACCATGGCTCCTTAAGAATGATTAGTCCCTAAGAAGGCTTCTATATTGTTAAATGGTTAAAAAAGAAAATTTTGTGACATGTGAAGAATTGTATCTTCGTATCAGACCACAGGTGGTTGTTTCTTGGTATGGTAAGCAGCAGCATTCACTGCATAGCTGCCAGATTTCAAAAAGCTACCTGGCTGATGAGGTTCCTCAGAGACAGCAGGCGCCCGTGGATGGCAACTTCATGCATGGGAGACCAATCAGACACAGCATCTGTACGGAGAGAGGGACAGGTGACATCCTGCCAATGCACTTTAGACCGACCCCTGCCTGTCCGTTTATCATGCTCTGGTGGCTTATGTGGAAAACTATGCCAGCAGCATTTCAAACACCAGCAGGGTCACCCATGGTGGACAGCTTTCAGCCAAGCTTCCAGACTAGGACAGACTAGGAAGAAAGGCCTGGCAATCTAGCTCCAAAAATTAGCCAATGCAAAGTCTAGAGATCATAGCAAAGTGTTATCTGGTACAGTGCTGGAAGGTGAGCCTTATAGATTGCAGGGCTCTCAGAGCGCACAGTGGCTGCAACAATGGTCTCGAGCATCCTAATGAATGTGAAGATGGCGCAGGAACAGGCCACGTGTCGTTCCGTTGTACGTGGAGTCGCCACGGGTCAGAGCCAACTTGAGGGCAACTAACAACAGTGCCCGTTCAAAGCTATAAGTTCATCCTTGTCCACCAATAAAGCCTGACAGGTCCTGGATGGAGACGTTGTGGTCACCCAACAAAGTCCCATCAGGACTTCAGCATTTCTTCCTCTTTTGGTGTTTCTTATACACAGCTTATTAAATGCCTAGGTAGCTAAAGAAAGGACTAAAGTCAGTGCTCAAATTAGGGACAAAAGAGGCCGAGTGGGATGACACAGAGATCACTGTGCTTCCATTTGCACACTGGTCTCAAAGGCAAATGGCCCATTTAGTTAAGTGAGGGCTTGGCTAATTACCGGCTTTAGTGTGTTATGCCATGGTTGCCAGCCTAGTTTCTGCATGAAATACACACTTTGGCAACTCAGCAAACAGAACCATGTATTAATGGTGGTAATCACTTACACAATTACATACACTATTAGGCTTGGAATCAAACCTAAGCAGAATCAAATCTATTTATGAATTACCTTCAACCCCAACAGCAAGTCCAAACCAGAGTTCGGTCTAACATTCCTTACCCTGGAAGGCAGCGCGCCGGTGCAGTTAAGAGAAAGCTCTGAATTCAAATCCCCTTGACTTCTTCTGAAAGGAGCTCTGGTGGCACAGTGCCTAAGGCATTTGTCTGCTAACCAGAAGGTTGGCAGTTCAAACCCACCAGCTGCTCTGGGGGAGGAAGGTGGAACAATCTACTTCCATAAAGATTTGCCGCCTTGAAAACCCAATGGGGGTCACTCTGAGTTGGAATCAACAGGTTGGCAGTAGGCTTTTTTGTTTGTTTGTGCTACTTCTTCTGAGCTGTGGTCCCTGGACCAGCTCTGATCCTCAGTTTCCTTATTTGTAAAGTGAGGACAGCATTATACCTATCCGTGACTCAATGATGGTGCAATGGTTAAGTGCTCAGTTGCTGAGAGGTTGGCAGTTTGAACTTACCCAGCAAGTCTGCAGGAGAAAGACTGGCGATCAGCTCTCCTGAAGATCACAACCTTGAAAACCTTATGCAGCAGTTGCACTCTGTCACACAGGGTCGCTGTAAGCTGAAAGTCAACTCGACAGCAACTAACAACAACAAAACGGCTCAGTATATATCAAACCAGTTACTGTCAGGTTGACTCTGACACATGGTGACTCCATATGTGTCAGACTAGAGCTGTGCGCTAAAGTGTTTTCTTTGGCTGATTTTTTTTTTTTTTTTAAGTAGATCACCAGGCCTGCTTCCAAGGCACCTCCAGGTAGACTCGAACCTCCAACCTTTTTGGTTGGCAGCACCACCCAGAGACTGCCAGTCCATATTAGCTACTATTATGACCCTGCCCTAACACTAAATGGTGGCATGGTGCCTCAGGCACTTGACTGCTAACCAGAAGGCTGGCGGTTCAAACCCACCAGCCACTCCT